AATAGAAATCACATCAGTCTTTTCTCACGCAAAGCTAATGATTAGTTGATTAAAATGACTGGAAAAAAATTGGGGTGCCCGAGCTCGTTAGTGAGCTGTAGCCATTTTTCAACTGACAGAACTCAATATCAAGGCAAATCCGCCATGTGTTCAATGTGCGCGTGCACGAACGCGAGCTAATGACGCCATAAATTATGCGCAGTAAGAATGCGCAATGCAAATGTGAGGAATCACCTCACTAATGTGCCAAACAGAAGACAAACTAAAAACGGAAACTTTTTAATATTTTTAAATATGAGAACTTGTATAGTGTAGAATAATTATAATTTAGTTTTCCGGTTTCACTTGTAGTAATAATAATAACAATAATAACAATAACAATAACGATAACGATAACGATACTTTAAAGATAATTTAAAACGAACAAAAGCTCGTCCGTGACATGGTTTTCTCACTTTCTCGTTACGTTATGACTCCTTATCTTGCGCGCCATTTTGGTTCTCTGGGAAGCAAAGAACACTAGAGAGTGTCAGTGTTAGGAAAAGTTGTGCCTACTTTAACTTCTTAGTTTTTTGTGGTCATTACATTGGGATTTTTCTATCAAACAGGGCATGGCCAGATATCACCAGCATTGAACCAACCTGGAAAAGACTGCAAGTTCCTCTGTTAAAGTTTCTATGCAGCGCCCCCGTCATATTCACAGAAGCCGCAGGAGGGAAATGGCTTGACATCGGGGAGGCTATCTTTGACAGACTTCATGAAGACGACCCAAGAGAGCTGCTTCGACAAGTTTTGTTTCAAGCCCGTCAAAACGTCGCTACTGTACCCGACCACGTGATTCAGTGTATCACCTGCCATACACCTGCCATCTCAGAGGTCGATCCCTCCTTTGTACGACTTGTTCTCAAGAACACCCCATCGTGTTATGTGACGTTAGGACGAACAGAGAAGTTGTGCCTCCTCAAGTTTGCTCTTAAAGATGAGATGTTTTTCCAGCTGCTTGGCTTGGAACTTTTGCCTCTCTCTGATGGGACATTTACATCTTTTAGAAATCCAGATGAATTTGCCATTTATATGACACCACCAGAGCATCCAGCAGAGCTTCTACCTGGCTTACGACACCGACTTCTTGCCCAGGACGTTGACAGAGGCATTTTAAGAAAGCTACAGGAAGTTGCAGAGAAAGGTATTTCCTTGATATGGTGGTTTACGCTTTAGTTACTATAAGCTGGAGTCATTTGTAAATACCGACTCTAACTAATAACAGCTAAAAATCGGTTTTTTTCCGTTCATCCAAGTTGATATTAATCAGAAAAGAAAACTGTTCGTGAATTCTCAGGCTGAGGTTATTACAATTTCTTAGTATGACCCTATTCTACTGAATCCACCAAAATTTGGCTTTCACAAGAGACATACTAGTTGACATACACGAAATAGAGTTCTGAAGGCGTCTTGAAAGCTATTTAAAAGCCGTGTTGGTAAACTAGGTAAAAAGAAAGAGAATTTCATTTACGCAAGAAATCAAAAGAAATGACATTTCCTTGCTGATGTCTTCACACCTGGCAGTCCTTTCACCTAGATGTAAGACACATCTTACTCTAAGTAGCACTGCATTTTCTTGAATTATATTGAAAGTCAAGAAGAACAGATCGAGATGTTTTCGTTTTAGTTTCAAGGAAAAGCGTTTAATATGTTTCTTTAGCAAACTAAGACGACCTTTGGGAAGATTTCTATGTGAAACATTTATACTCAAATTGTAGAAAGCATGATAAGTCTTCGAAAATTGTTTTTCTTAGCGGAACGGATCGACTATTATTTTCCTAGATGAGTTGTATGATTTTGTTATCTTCGCCGGTTGTGTTTTGTTATGAGCCACATCTCCAACAATGGACCCTTGTTAATTCAACCTACTGACCTTGCTTTGTCAGTAAGACAACAATGCCTCCGAAGGCTTGAAAACGTTAATTATTGTAACGTTCGTCAAAAGTCCATGATTTGTGGGCCGAGAATGGCATTCTTTCGTTTCTTACTTTTTTTCTCTGACATTGTTGCTGATTATTCCGAGCTGACATGTACAGCCCAACACATATTTTGTGCCTGAAATAGCCATCCTATGTTTATGTTTCTGTATACTTTCAGGAAAAGAAGTAATTGCTAAGAAGTCGAATTTTCGTTTTAAACATCAGGAACAATGTTGAGTGTTTGATCTCTCTGCAGGATGCACTCAGCTAGAACTCCTTCGCAAAGATCATTTACCTGATCTGCTTCGGGAATCACTGCCACCTAATTGGATAAATGGCGACAAGGTTCAATGGCACCCTGACGATGAAACTCGCAACCAGCCACCACAGAAGTGGCTCCTTTTCCTGTGGAATTACCTCAGAGAACATTTCACAACGGAAGAAGAACTGTGTCAGCTACAAAATCTCCCCTTGATTCCGCTTGACTTCAAGAAACTTCCTGTCACACTAACAAAGCTGAAGAAGCCTTCCAAAGTTGTCGTTAGACGGCTGGGTAGTGCCGTCCTCGATCAAACTTTGTGTAAAGTCCTGACACGTCTGGGTGTGTTAGTCATGGAAGATTTCCCTGACTTTTTGAAAAACCATCCCGCTATTCTGGGAACATTTGTCCAGCCACCATATGTCAGTGGCATTTTACAAGCCATGAAAGTTTCTTCCTTCGAAATGGGTGAAGGAATGCACTCAGCGATCTTGCTGGAGAAAGTCACTGATAATGAAAAACGTTCCTTGAGAAAGTTTATTGCCAAGACCCCATCCTTAAGTTCTGAAGAAAAGAATACTCTTCTTTGTCTTCCCATTTTCGAAACCTTTGGTAATTCAAGAGAATTCGTGTCAAAGGGGCAAGGCCTGCAAGCAGCACCAGCTGATGCAGGCGAGTTTCCAGTGAGTCCCAAAATGCCTTTCATTGACATTAAGGATGAAGACTCCAGTAGGATGGCTCGTTTATTGGACATCACAATCCTAAACACCACTGATTTTCTGCTTGAGGGGATATTTCCACACGTTCAGAACCAAGCCTATCTAAATGAAGAAATCGACAGACTTATGGCTTTTGTGATCAAGAGGTATGACGTCTACGTTGGTGACCGTACCAGATTTGAAGCGGAAATGAAAGCGTTGCGGTTTGTGCCAACCGGTGGAGGTCGTGTCACAGCGCTGGATCTCTTTGATCCAAGGAACGAGCTGCTGCGGGACATTTTAGCTGAAGAAGACGTTTTCCCTTTCGGAGAGCAATACAATAAGTCTTCAGTCCTTGCAGTTCTGGAGAAGCTTGGTATGAAAAGTGAGGAAAAAATCACCGCCCAAGAACTCTATCAAAGTGCCACAAGAATTCCTGAAGTTTCAAGTATGCATGCGGAGCGAAAGTCACAAGCAGTGATGGCATATTTAGAAAGGCAGCCGAGAAGGCTTAGAGAGACCGTCAATGGAACAGCACTGGGAGACCTGCTTCGAGAAATACCTTGGGTATGTATCATGAGACAAAAACCCGACCATTTTCCAAGCAGTCTTCCTTTCTGGGGAGAAGTAAATTCAAAGAACAAATTCTTCAGACCCACAGACGTCAAGAGTGCACAAAAGGTTAATCTTATTGGAACAGTAAAGCCCATTGCCGAGACAGAATCATCGAGTCCATTAGCCAGCTACTTTGGCTGGAACGAAAATCCCCATGCTTTTGACGTTGTTAAGCATTTAAGTGTTGTAGTAAATTGTTACAAACAAGACGAAAAGTCACTCTATATGGAGATAGTGCAAGACACCTACTCTTTCCTCACTGATGCAGATCATGCTGATGTCAGTAAAGCCTTTCAGGGAATGGAGAACTCCAGCTGGATTTGGAACGGAGATGGATTTTCGGCTCCCTCTGTTATGCTTGCCGAAAAGCCGTCACCTGATCTCTCTCCATACATTTCCTTCCTTCCAACCGAGACACGGAAGTATCGTGATTTGTTTTTGAAGTTTGGCATCGAGGCAAAGTGTGAAGCCTCCGTTTTGCGTCGCGTCCTTTGGTTGATAAAGGAGAAGTATGACCGTCCTGATCATCGTGCTGAAGCCTCTGACGTGGAAAGCGACCTGCAATTATCCGTTTCTATCCTGAATAAGTTACAGAGTAATGGTGATGAGCTGTCCCTGCAATTTAAAGAAGAAGTTCTTATTCCAACGTACGTGAAAGAAGATGCCTTTGTCAGGCTTGCACAACCTGAGGAGTGCATGTACTGTGAACGTGAGTGGCTGCAATCAGAAACTGATGATGAAGACACAGCCCATTTCCTCGTCCATCCCTACGTGTACAACAGCACAGCAGAGTTTTTCGGTGTTCGAACGCTAAGTAACTCAATGCTGGATCCCGACGAGCTAGAAGTGGGAGAACAATTTGGTCAAGAGGAAAAACTAACTTGCAGACTCAACAAACTTCTTTTAGAAGACTACACCGATGGATTTGCGGTGCCAAAAGAACTTATTCAAAATGCAGACGACGCTGGTGCCACTGAAGTCAGCTTCCTGTATGACGAACGGACTAATGAAGACGCCATGACCTGTCTGATTGACGAGGGAATGAGGGAATGCCAAGGCGCTGCCCTGTGGGTGTACAATGATGCCGAGTTCCGAAATGAAGATTTTGAAAACTTAACAAAACTAAACGGAGCAACGAAAGAAGAGGACACTGACAAGATTGGAAGGTTTGGCCTTGGCTTCAACGCAGTGTACAACCTAACTGATGTACCCATGCTTGTGAGTAGAAATTATTTCGTGGTTTTTGATCCCAACACCTTCTACCTGGGAAAACAAATCAGGAATGTGAGTAAACCAGGTATAAAAATCGACACAAATAAGAATGTAAAGGACTTGCGGAAGTTCCGAAATCAGTTCAAACCGTTCAATGGCATCTTTGGTTGCGACCTTCGTCTAGATAAAGATGACAACTCCTTTCAGGGAACGCTGTTTCGTTTCCCTTTGCGAACCAAAGGACAAGCCATACGAAGTGAAATCAAGCAACTTCCTTACGACTTCAAGCAAATGAAAGAATTACTGAGGCTATTCATTCGTGGGGCCAGATCGCTGCTACTTTTCACACAAAATGTACGCAGCGTTAGCATCTTTCATTTGCCCAAAGATTCCTCAGAGCAGCCACAACCTAAGCTCATTTTTGAGGTTACCAAAGAGTTATCAAAGAATGGGATCTTGAGAGAGTTGTCTGTCCCATTCACCTTATCCACTGCTGCTCAAAATCTGGGCATTGAAGAACAGTTCTTTTTGAAGCAGTGCAATTTCCTGAAAGCGTCATCTGAGGTCGCGACGTGTGCTTCAGATTCCAATACTTCAAGCACTGAGTTCCTACGATCTGCACTTCAACTCAACGTGAAAAGCACTGTTACAGAGGCCGGTAACCGTTTCTTTGAAGACGAAATTCACTCACAATCCGTTGTTGAGACGTGGCTGGTGGCATCGTCAATGGGCACTGGCGAGGCAATGAAGTTCTCGATTCAAAACAAAGCCAAAAGTCTTGTTCCGTCAGCTGGAGTTGCGGTTCAACTGACTAACCACAATGCTCCCATTTCGATACCTGTTTGTCAATCAACTGACACAGGGACTTTGTTTTGTTACCTTCCACTTCCAATCCATAGTGGTCTGCCTGTACACGTCAATGGAGCTTTCGCAGTTACTTCTAACAGGCGTAATTTGAAAGAGAAATCGGAAGACGACAAACCTAGCTTTGACTCAGGGTGGAATGACGTTCTCTTGAGAGACTGTGTTTGTTCAGCATATCTTGATCTTGTTGAAGACGTCAAGCCAGCTACAGAAGCTCCTGGGAACACGTATCAGTTCCATTCATTGTGGCCCAAGTACTGTGAAGTCCAAAAAGCCTGTGAGCCTCTTGTACGTTCATTTTATGGGCGCCTTGTTACAAGGAGTCTCCCTCTCTTTGCGAGTGGCTGCAGATGGGTCGGAATCCATGACGTTTGTTTTCTCCACCCAAAGTTCCGTCTTGATGATCTTATCGGAGATATTGCGTTCGAGGTTTTTCAGGCGTTAGCTAGTGGCAGTAAAGCTGTTGTGGATCTCCCGGCCGACGTGTACGAGTCGTTTGAAAAGTGTGGTCTGGCAGCAAAGATCCAGCCTGGATGCTATGATGAGGTCAGGTTTTATCGTGAATTATTCTTCCCGAAAATTGCTTCTGTGCCCCCTCAGTTAAGGAACAACTTAGTACTTTACGCATTAGATGACAAAAGTGAAAAGTTTGATGGCTTTCTGGCTGCATATGCCTGCATTCCGGTTTCCCCTTTCGGGAAAACACTTAAACTTCCAAGAGAACTGGTCTCTCCAAAACGAGAGGCAAGATTGCTTTTTTGTCCAGTAGATGAAAGGTTTCCGCACGGCAGTCAGGAGACGTTTCTTAATCCTACACGGCTGTTTAAGCTTGAGAGGCTTGGAATGTTGACAGATGATATCTGTTGGCCTGACGTTGCAGAAAGGGCAGAGAGCATTTGCATTTTGAATAAAAATGACAGCGACGCAGCAGTTGAGAGAAGTGAAAACTTGATAGGCTATTTAGAGAAAAAACTGAAGCGTAGCGGTCAATATATTGAGTCCCAGGTTCAAACCAGGATTTTAAGGGCAAAATTTATTCCAGTTCAAAAGAAGCCACAATCGTTTCCGCTCACATGGATGGGCGACCAGTTACAAGATGGAAGCAATCAAGTCCTGGTGTCACCGGCGGATGTCTATTTAAGAGAACACTTGTATTTAGTGTGTTGCTCTGAAGCAATAGTAAATGTGTCCATGCCACCTAAAGTCAAAGACTTTCTGAAGTTAAACAGGAATCAGCCTACAGTCAAGCATGCGATCAACCAACTAAATGAGGCTGTGTCTACAAGCTTAGGCATCGCTGGTAGCGACGAGATCAGAAAAGTGTGCATCGAGTCCTACAAATTTCTTGAAGGGGCTCTCAAGAAGAATGAAACCAAGATAGTAGATTGCCTCAAGGGGAAACGTTTCATTCTTGTTGGAGATGAGTTTTTGTGTCCAAAGCAAATAGCGTTCAAGCTAAATGCTGATTGCCCTCCTTTCCTTTACAAGGTTCCCGAAGAACTGGCTAGGTTGTGTTCCACACTTTTGAAAGCAACTGGAGTAAGAGATGTTTTTGAGGCAGAAGATTTCATTAGCGCTTTGGAGCGCATCAAGGAACGTTTTGAAGGTAGGAAACTGGACAAACGGACGCTTGCTGTTGCAGTTACCCTTTCTACTCAATTAGAAGATTCACTGGTGGAGTCCAAGTCCTGTATTACAACAGATAAGAAGAGGGAATCCATTTATCTTCCGAATTCAAACGGAGTAATGAAACTAGTGAAAGAACTTTGCTTTCAAGACTGCTCTTGGATTTCCGGGGAAACGGGCATTCAGTTTGTCTATTCCAAGATTCCTCAATCGACAGGTGTTGCATTAGGAGTAAAGACAAGGAGAGAAGAGGCTTTGCGGCGTCATGCACTGGGAATATCTTTTGGGCAAAGGGAAAAACTAACAAATCGCTTGAAACGCATCCTGAAGGCTTATCCATGTGGGAACGAACTATTGAAAGAACTCCTGCAGAATGCAGATGACGCTCAGGCAACTGAGATTTGCTTTATTTTGGATCCCCGCAGCCATCCCAAGGAGCGGATATTTGAGACCTGTTGGGAGCCTCTGCAGGGCCCTGCCTTGTGTGTGTACAACAACAAGCCTTTCACAAAATCCGACCTTGAAGGAATACAGAACCTTGGAGAGGGCAGTAAGGGAGACGATCCAAGCAAGACGGGCCAGTATGGGGTCGGTTTCAATGCTGTCTACCACCTTACAGACGTTCCTTCGTTCATGTCCAAAGGGGACGAGATCGGTGACGTTTTGTGTGTGTTTGATCCACATTGCCGGTACGTCCCTGATGCTAATCCCCAGGAACCAGGCAGAATGTACGCAGATACAGCAAAGCTAAAAGAAACGTTTCCAGATGTATTTTCGTGCTACCTAGGGGAGCATTTCACCTTAGAGGATTCAACCATGTTTCGATTTCCACTCAGAACACAAGAGATGGCGGAAACATCCAAGTTGTCAAAAGTTCCAGTTAAGCTGAAAGATGTGAGAGGAATGATGGAAGCGCTTAAAAGTGAGCTCTTTGAAGTCCTTCTTTTTGTAAACAACGTAAAGAAGATCACATTGTGCGACATCGATGACAATGGGCAAGTGGCGAACTCTTACTGTGTGGAAGCATTGATATCCGAGCAAGATGCACGCAAGCGACTTCAATTCGCCAGCTACATAAAGAAGATTGGAAAACTGGTGAGAGAAGGAGAGTCGCTGCCCTTCAACGACGGATCAAAACAATGTTCCTACTTTATGACCTTGTGCGACAATGTGGGAAACGAGGAAAACTGGTTCATTGTTCAGAAGTTTGGTTTTGAGAACAGCGTTGCAAAAAGCATTCCCGAAGCTTTCAGAAGGCAAGACCTTGCGCTGCTTCCCTTGGGTGGCGTTGCTTGTCTTTTGAAAAAGGAGCCAAAGAGAAGGGCAGCAGTGGAGAGGAAAAAGAAAGCCTATTGTTTTCTTCCGTTGCCTGTTAAAACTGATCTCCCAGTCCACATAAATGGCCACTTTGCGCTTGGCCACGAGGCCAGACGAGATTTATGGAGAGATGAAACTGGAGGATATCGAAGCGATTGGAACAATAGTTTGCTGGCTGATGTAATCGCGTCTTGTTACTTAACACTTCTAGATGAAGTGAGGAGCTGCTATCAGCCGCCAGTCTTGCAAAGCCCTGACCCAGGCAGATCGAGTTGTAACGAAAACGATTTGATTAGACGCCTCCAGGATTATGAAAAGTTGTTCCCAACATTTTCTAGCAAAGATTCGCCCTGGAACCCGTTAGTTAAATCAGTGTATCAAGGGATGAACAACAAGCAACTTCCACTCCTGCCGGTGGTTCGTAGCTCGACTCGCAGACATGAAGCAGAATTGAAATGGTTTCCACCGACGGGCACAGGAAACGATCAAGCATTCTTTAACAACCTAGAAGCTGAAGAAACTAGAGAGAGGAGGAGAACAAAGAGGAAAATTAGTAGTGTGGCCGAAATATTGGTGCAAGCAGGTTTTAATCTGGTGAACTTTTCGTTGTCTGTTTTTCATAATTTGGTGCAGTCTGGAGTGAATGCCCGTTGCGTATCTCCTGCGTCGGTAGTAGATTTTCTGAAGACCTTCAGTAGCCAAGATTCTTTTTGCAGGATTGGACCACTACCAGTCGTTGTTAGCGAAACTCCGTTCAGAAACGAAATTGGCGTTTCCCTGCTGCTTGCCTACTGCAAAGATCAAGAACAGTTCTGCACGCATTTATCAGGCCTTCCCTTACTTCTTACGCAAGACAACATCCTTCGTGTGTTTGATCTTGAAGATCCAAAATTCCTTTCTGATTACTACGACATTTTGCCACATTGTCAGGAGATGTTTGTTCATGAGCGACTAAAAAGAGATATCTTTCAAGGCGGCGCAAGCGGTGACGCCCCTGTCTTCCAACCATTTGACGTCAAAGCTTTTTCCAGAAACTTGCCTAAAGCATTACCATCTTTGTACCACGGTGAAGATTACGTCAGCTGGTCCCCAGATAAGAAGACGGAGCCATCCCGCCACTGGATTTCCAGAGTATGGGGTTTCCTTCAGGAGGTCGTGGGTACGTCTCAAAGCTATTCAGAGCCGAGCTGCACTTTAGACGTACTAGCACCTTTGTCTAGCTGGAGCATTCTTCCGGCAACGGAACCGTTAGACAACTTCTTGAATGTTTCAAGTCCAGTCGCAGATGACTTCCTGGTGCCCTTGAAACTGGCAGAGTCTGTGCTTGATTTCACGAATATCGAGGCCACGCTTGCTTGTTCACGCCCGCTTGGTCGCGCTCTTAGGAGCCTTGGGCTACCCGAGCTAAATTGTACTACACTTCCCAGCTCACCCCAATACATGAATCTTCCGCGGCGTATTGTGGCATCTCCTTTAAAACCAGTATCACTTCTTACAGCACTTCACAGCCGAATGATGAGGAAACCACGCTCCTTGCAAGGAAAATTGGATCGATCTGGTTGCAAGACCATCTTGAAGTATTTTTGTGACAACCTAAACAGCCTAGAGTCCATGCCTTCTAGCAAAGATATCTTGAGAAAGCTACCCTTTTATCTAACAACACATGGTGGTCTTGTCGCTATTGATGACCAAAGAAGCGTTTGCCTCTTACCGAGTGGAATACCCAGGATTGAAATGAATCAGCTAGAAAGTGAAGTCAAGGTGTTGTTCCTGGAATGTATGCAAGATCTCTCTAACTTGTACAAATATCTATCGTTTGACAGCATATCCTCAGTGAATGTGTACTGTGAGTTTATCTTGCCAAACTTTAACGTTTTCAGCAGAGAGGCAAGGGAAACGCACCTCAAGTACATCCGAGATTCAGTTTTCACAAGCACTTTGCTGAACGACCACGATGAACAGAGACTGACCGACTGCCTAAAAAACAAGGAAGTCATTACCACAAAGAATGGAACATTGAGAAAAGCAAATTCTTTCTATGACCCACGTAATGACGTTTTCAAGGCTATGCTTTCTGGGGACAAGTTTCCAAGTGAACCTTTCAATTCAGACTGGTGGCTTCTGTTTATGAAGAAGATTGGGATGGTATGTGAAGTCTCGTGCGATCATTTTAAGAGATTCACCGCTGAGGTTGCGCACGAAGCGGTCACGCAACGTACTGATACAACAGACAAGAAGTCCAAGGTTTTGGTCTCCCATCTTTTCAGTCGATCTCAAGTACTGAGTGAGGGTCTGCTGCAAGCTGTTTGTGGTGTTCGTTTTGTGGTCTCAGATCCTGTACGGGAAGACCTTCTAAATCTACATGCACAATTTGGTGAAAGAGAAGACGGCAAAACTCCGTACATTTCTTTTAAAGGCTCTGTGGTGTCTGACCATGCTGAAGCTGTATGGACGACAGCGTATCTGCTCCCTAAGTGGGCAGATCCAAGTTTTCATTTTGGAGGTGCCTTTTATCTTCCGCAACTTTATGTTCTCTCAAATCCTACGCTAGAACTGGTTACGGCTCACTGTATCAGAATCTCTCATCATCTGGCAAAGCAGAACGACACCAAAGTGCCAGAAGAACAGATTGCGACGAGAAGATCAGTCATGAGAAAGATTTACACTTTGCTGCAGGACAAAGTTATCACTGAAAGTAATGTAAAAGGCGGTCTTGAAAGTGCACCGTGCGTTTTGGTTGAGAAAGGTACAAGGCTCGTGCAAGCTAAACAGGTTGTACTCGAACTGCTCGAGAGAGACGAGATATCACCATTTCTTTTTCGCGTTCCTCCTGAATTTGGAGAGTTTCACCAGCTGTTTCATCACCTTGGCTGCTCAAAGTCCGTACAATCATCCCACTACGCGATGGTTTTGGAAATGCTACATGATCAGTGTCAAGAAAATAAGCTGCATCCGAACGAGATCCAAAGTTCCATGCGAGCAGTTAGGGGCCTCTTTGAAAGCTTGCTAAAGGATTCAGAGAAAAATGTTGATCTCCTAAAACTATACTTGCCAGCATTGTGTCCACACAGTAGGAGCCCCAGTGGCACTTCTGAAGTTACATTGCACAAGTCGACGGACCTGATCTTCGACGACGCGCCTCAGTATCAAAGTCGGCTGCAGCATTTCAAGCAACTATTTTTGGTGGATCTGAAGAGGGCAGAACTGCAATTTACTTCATCCATGAACTACAAGGACTACATCATGCGTCTTCCAACTGATTGTCGCCCGAAGGTGTTGTCTGATGTGGTGGAGGAGAAGTTTGTTGATAATCAGGATTCGATCGGTCGTGGTAGTTCACCTGTTCAGCTGAGCGTCGCTGATTCCTTGACAAAACAGCTCGGCTCACAACAATTCTGTCATGCAATCTTAAGGCTTATTCGTCATGCAAACCATGAAAGTGGAAATTTGGACGATACTGTCATCGCTTCTGTAAAAGAGAGACTAAAAAACATCGAGTTTCTTGGGATGAACAGAATTGAAACCAAGCTGATGTACGAGGGAATTCCTATTCCAGGCAGTGAAACGGAAGTGCCACTTTTTGTAGATAAGGTTTCGAAGGCCGGTAAAGTTCTTTGGAAGGTCTATATTGTTGCAGAGGAGGATGCAACTCTTGGCAACATATCTTTGGCCTTAACGGAAGTGATTTCAGAAGCCTGCGAAGGATTGTTACGGCACACAGTTATGTTCATTCCAGAGATGTTGCGCGCGGATCCCACTGAGATATGGTCAATCCTGGACACCATGAAAATTCGCCAAGATGACTCATACGACGCGTCACAAAGCAATGTGTTGCCACAGCCGGGAAATTTCATTCCCATTGAAGATCACCATCTCTTAAACGAAGCATTTGAAGAATTCACACCTGGAGAATATGTTGCATTGGAATTGGATGATCCCAGTCTGAGCAAAGAGAATGGAGATGCTACCTTCATCTATGCCATAATAATCGAGGAAACAAATTGCGAGGGTGCCACTGTCTACACAAAACTATACACAGTGAATATAGGCCATGACAAAAGGGTTGCCGAATCGGCTGATTTGTACAAATTTCACCGTTTTCAGTTCTGTGAAGAAGCAGGAAGCTCCTCCCAAACAAAAGACAAAACGAAGATTTTGGCACAGATCACAGAAGTGCTCGAAATGGCATGGCAATTACCAGAGGAAAGGAGAAGAAAAATCGTGAAGAGACTCTTCTTACAGTGGCACCCAGACAAGACGCTTGAAGACCAAGCATTCTGCCAGGATGTTTTCCAGCACCTTCAGGATGAGTTGGCAAGATTGGAGAGCAACAAGGCACGACGCACAAGGAGGAAGGGCTCTGGAAGCACAAAACCAAACCATTACGAAGCTTTTTTTGATTTCTGGGGAACGCGTGCCCGAAGGCATCAAGCTCAGCGCCAGGAATACAAGGCAATTTATTTGGAAAGGTTTGGATCGCGTGAAGTGACGTCGGCGTTACACGGCTCAACAACAGTCATTCCCCCAAGTTTTTGTAAGAAGAATCCTCAACCAGGTGAGGCACGCCGCTGGTTTAGACAAGCGAGAGCCGACCTCAAGGCTGCTGACAAAGACTTGGCGGCTGACAACCCATCCTATGAATGGGCGTGTTTCAAGTGCCACCAGGTAAGCAAGCTTCCGCTTAACCTACATCTGCCTAAGCTCGTTACAGGCCCATTACCTCGTGTTAGAATTGACGATTGGAAAGAAAACGGTTTAAATGTCATTGAATGCCTGAGAGACAGAATACCATTTGAGTACCAAGAGTCCTGGCTCGATGGTTTACTGGCGTTAAGCCTCAGAGAATGTTTACTTAAAAACATTTTCGCTCTCAGTAAAATTGTCTAAAGTGCGAGATTGAAATCAACACCATAATAACAGGCCATAGCATATACATATCAATTTATTTCAGTGGGTGGAAGTTGTCAATGATTAGGCTATTCATTTTTGGAGGGATTGCGGGCTGGTGAAGCGTGTTGTCTTAGATAAAATAGTTGGAGTGGTATTTTGTATCATTTAGGCCGCGGAGAAGGCACTCAAGGCAGCTCAATATGCAGATGATGCTTTCAAGACCCGTGCGCATAGTCTGATACAGATTGCTTCACGTTTGGACGACTCAGAGTTAACCAGCTTGGCAAGTCAACTGGAGAGTAGCGTGGTAGACTCGACACGTATGCGCTATCCCGACCGAGTCTATTACCCTCAGATACCCAACGATGTCTACACGAACGATACAGCCCAAAAGGTTCTAGAGCTGGCGTCGACAGTCCTAGAGAGAGTCGGCGACAAACTCTCAAAATTGTAATCGTTGATCAGGTCTTAAGACGTACCCGAAGTAGCGGCATTGTATCATTTAACATAAATTTTGTGTGTGAATTAGTAGCTCTGCACCAGAGATTCCGGGAGGGAATATTTGGTCGATGCGTGACCTTTTCGCATTCGAAGAACTGTGTATTCTGGTACAGTACTGTGCAGGTTCAGCTAGGAGTAATAGGGAGCTTAAGCAACGGCGACGACGACGCCGAGGACAACGCCTGGTAAAAAATGAATTCATATTTTACAAGCGAAATTCGCGAATGTCTAGATCTGTTCAGTACGCCAATGGCACTAAAAACTTGCTTAGGTTAAATATGCAACGACGGCGTATAGTTCCAAATGGCAATGCGAAAAACTAGCCGTCGTCGTCCACGTTTCGTAGACGACGCAGAACTTGATCATTTCACGTTGTTGTTTTGCAGAGGACGGCAAAGAAATGTACAAAAATTTATAACGCACGTGCACAGCTATTGTTTTGCTCATTAAACCTTTTGTTTAGTGACGTTCTCGTTGCCGTCGTCGTCGTGGTTTGCTTAAGCTCCCTATTAATATTACAAAGCGACGACATGAAGCGATTTTACAAATTGTTTTACTTTCGTTTTCCCTCTTTTTAGATCGCTTTAGCTTTTTATCGAACGAACGTAATAGTTAGTGTTTTGAACGAATTAGTACTTTTGAAGAAATGCACCTGGCAGTTGCTTTTGATGATAATTCAGGTACTTTGAAATCCAGAGAATATGTTATTGCTTTCACAGTCGTCTTTTAGAATAGATGGCAAAGTTGTCGATCAAAATTGGAACTGGCCGTTTCAGAAAATTCTGAAAGGGTTTGCTTTCACTGGTGAAAACACACAATTCTTTCCTCTTATGTTTATGTAACAGAGAGAATGACCCTTCAACTGAGGAAAACTGAAGTAGGATGGCCCTTCCAAATGTTGCGTTAATGAGTACTTCCTGCGCTGGAGTTTAGTTTGTATATTACTGTAAGCAGTTTACAAGAAGCATTTAGTGGTTTTACTGCAGATGTCTTCTACCTTTCAAACCCAATAGTTTTTTCCCATACAAAATCCTTATTTCCCGTTGTTACAAAGTTGCGAGCTTGGACCACCTGTGGGGAACAGTAGAGGTGTCAACAAATACGAAGGGCAGGCAAGAGGGTGGGGGAGTTGAGAGGGTCAGAGTTCCCTGTACTATGCCACCCTTCCCCAGAATTCTGCCACGACTGCCAAATTTGGGGCACAAATGTGAAGGCTGTTGATTTCGCTATGACATCAAGTGGCGACGCATAAATAACAATGATAAACTGACCAGTTGGGAATTATTGCTTTGTTTCAGTTCAAACAAACAAATGTGGGTTAGTTTTTGTCCCGTTTGAGCCTCTTCCTTTTTCATTGGGTTTTCACTGGCCATGAAAGCTTTTGGACTATATAATGTGATTTATAAATTGTTTCAGTATTCTTTAGCAACACTTACAACTAAACGTCTGTTCTCATTCTTAGTGCCACGGCGTGGAAGCGAATAGGCCATATAATCCACAATTGCAGTTTTAAATATCTGCTATCTGCTCTCAGACGGCCTACTATTATAACTAACCGAGCAGAGAACAGAAAATCTCAACTATGCGATTTCTGTCCGATTTTTTCCGTTTTCCATCGCAGTTAGCTTCTTTCAAAATGAAAACCTTATCTTGTAGTAACAAAGACTGCATTTAGTGCTTCTTTACTCACATTTCAAGTTTAGGGTTGTAGTAAGCAGAAACTAAAGTACAAAAGTAAGCTTATTAGTTACAATGTGAAGCTAACTATCTTATGTTTCGTAGCTTTTCTAATAGCTTTTTACAGCAAATATTAATGCCATATCCATAGTTAGTAACCCTACAAAAGCGAACTTAGTATTGCAGAGAGAGCAAGTGCTACATGCATACAGTGCAAAGTGGTTCTTATACACTTTTTATTGTTGTTATTTGTAGGTTTAAGCTTTTAGTAGTTGTTCGAGATCTTTCGTTTCGTCTGAGTAGATGTATAGTTTCAATAAAACCCACATCAATAATAAATCAGTGTATGTAGTTTGAGACAGGCTACCTCAGGTTCCTTTATTGGCGTTTCTACGAGCTTTCCTTACCTCGTTTGTCAGCCAATCATCGTCCACTTTTGAATGGAAGTGATCAGCTACAGTGTAGCCTACATTCTTAATAATCTATAACACGCCATGAAATCAGGAGTCACGAAATTGCATTTTGATGAAGGGCGCCAGTATCAAGGCTCGGTTTTCAATATTGGTAGTCCCACATTGTCTTTAAATTCTCAGCTATTATCTGTAAAGAGACAAACGTCTTGTTACCGCAGTAGACTGTTTTGATCGTGAGCCACCGATTTCTGAGTGTTAGCTGTACGTCTCGTGATTAATAAAGTTGTTCTTCAGTCTGGATACGTCTCCCCTTGCACTGAATGTTTAAGGCTTCATGAAAGTGCAGGACCCACCGAAGGACCCATGATAGCCATCTGTGCTCAATAGACTACAGATAGAACATTTTACCTGGATCCTCATTAACAGTCTCTGTTTTTGGCCGTTTCTATACTAAAAACGCATTATCCGTCTGGACGAACTTGGGCAAACATTTGTAGTTCTACCGGTTATGCGTCTTCAGTATAAAGACGGGCACAAGACGTACCATGCGTCTAGTCGAACTATCTCTTGTAGTGCGTCGTTCAAGACGAATTTCGAAGTATAGTTCGTCTAGACGCAGAATACGTCTTGAGCTCGTCTCTATACTGAAGACGCATAACCAGACGAACTACAAATGTTTGCCCAAGTTCGTCCAGACGGATAATGCGTCTTTAGTATAAAAACGGCGAGGACGCATTATCCTTCTGGACGGATTATGCGTCCTCTAGTATAAAAACCGCCATTGCTTCTATTTTTTGCGGGGTGGTGGGGGCGTGGGCGAGGTGGGAGATGGGATTGCATAATTTTTGTATGCTGCTGTCCGTACAAACGAAAAGAAAAAACGTCAACACCCTTTGTCATTCCTCCAAAATGTAATGAAGATTTCAAAAACAATAAGGTCAGGAAATTTCAGCTGAGTTAGTAGAAATGCAGTAAAACAAAACGATGATGAGTTCTTGAGTGGGGTTGTGTTAGTTTGCTATTGTTTCGTTAGCAAGTTTTGAAAACAGATTAAAATAAATCATGCATGGAGTGATGAAAATATGGTGACTTGTTACAGGACAAAAAAAAACTTATTCACAAACAACTCATACTTCCTCGATTCGCTATGGCCAAAGGCTAATGCTAAAATGATCCCTCTTGATGTTGTGTCCGGTGGTTTTAACATGGTCAGCAATGGCTTATGTCTGGTCATTTTTAGCAAGGGCCTTGAAATGTTCTGTTTTCCTGTCATGGAGGCTTCGCTTTGTTTTGCCGAGGTAAAAGTCATTGCAGTCCCAGGAACCGGCTTTCAAAATAACTTTAGATTCTTGAGAGCGGTTTAACCGGTACTTGTATGGAAAGAAAGATTTGATGTGGCGGGTGTTAGAAAAAATTATCTTCAGGTTTACGAAAGAGTAGAAATGGTATACACAAGATTTCAGGTCATTCCTCACATTTGCATTGCGCATCCTTACTGCGCATAATTTATGGCGTCATTAGCGCGCGCTTGTGCACGCGCATATTGAAAACATGACGGATNTTCCTCATCACTGGAAGGTGAGAGCAAATTTAACTCGTCCATGTTTAGATGGCCTGGTGCCTGATGAAATGAAGACCATTGTCAGTACTTTTGAAGGCAGGGTGGTTTCTGTACTATAAAGTGTTACCACTACCCCTGAATCAGATGTTAGTTTACTGCAGTCTAATCCCTAGCATTTTAGTAACTTACCTTAACAATATGCTGGAACCTGTTTATACCATTAATTATTTTATGCCCTTACAAAAACGGATACAAAGTAAAAATAAAACCTCTTGCTCATCAAAACAACCCTCTAAATCTGGAGTCCAACACCTAAACATTACTACTATAAAATTTATCTTCCAACTCTTTTTTCCACCCAGCATTACAATAAAATTTACAATAACATCCTATTCTATTAAAGGCAGGGATAAAGCTAAGAAAATGCTGAACAAGCTCATTAACAAGCCCAGCTGGCTTTTCTGGCCTTGAGCTCCAATGTTTACCAAAGCCTCTGTTTTTGTGTGAAATTTCAGGCAGATTTAAGTTCTCTTTTTGCCAGTGAAATTAGCTGGCAGTCAGTCCTTAGTGATATTCCTGCTAAGGAGAGTCTGAATCTTAGCTTTTCATTTCAATAGTTGTTTTCAAATTTTACATGTGTTTCTTGAACTTGCCTAATAGTTGCCAAATTTTCTCACTATTTGGTAATTGGATGAAACAATCTGCTACAGATGTAAATATTTACATGAAACATAAAGAAGATTAATACACTTGGACTTCCCTCTTCTCCTAGCTTTCTGTTCAAAATATGTGCAGGGTGTCAAGGTTTCAGTGCTCTAACAGACATCAAATTCAACCAAAATTATGATATTACATGTACATGCATGTAACTACCTTTCCAAAGTAGCGAACTTTCTTTAATTTCCTCCTGCGGCAACATCTGCACAGCACAACCAAGAATGCGATGAGAAGAGCAGCACATGCTCCAGCACCAACTGGAATGAGCACATTTACGTAGAAAAATTGCACGTTCTGCAAGGTGTAATTTCAAATAATTTGGTCAGTAGCTGTGGTAAACACAAATTCAACAATTTTTTTTTCTCAAGAGGTATGAGTATCTACTTTTAATTACAAAAACTGGATCACTGGATAATACAATTTGAGAGTTTTTATTTGCTTAGTTATCATGGTTATGAGCCATTATACCATGCTCCAGAAATGTTGTAAGCGTACATGTGAGTTTTTTTGGGCATTTTTATTTTTATTTTAGTTTTAGTTTTCTATATTGTGCAGTACCAGAAATATCCATACTTCCCCACAGAAGGGATTGGAATTTCCTGGGGGGTGTTCCCTAAGGCCAAAATATTTAAAGAAACGTATCAAATTTAAGTGAAATTTCCAGAGGGGTGGGGGGTGGGGGGTCTTGGAAAAATCCCTTCTGTGGGGGAGGTATGGATGTTTTCTGGAACTACACATTTTGGGGACATTTTTAATAAAACAATAATTCCACTCACGCATGTTGGATATAAGATGATTATAGCCAGTGCCTCATTGGCTATCTACCATCTCATATCCAATGCGCGCCTGTGGAATAATTGTTAACTGTCATGTATTCAACATCTAGATTCCATGTTACCATGCTTCTATTCAGTAATTGATCATAGATGATATCAAAATGTGGTAAGAACAAAAAAGTGGTAAGAACAAAAAAAGTGACACACAAGGCAATAGCTGGGTGTGTCACTGACATCTAATCAGTTACTGAACAAACACACCACAACACATAATCTATTTGTTTTATATAATAAAGGAACAAAAAAATGATATTAATGATGTCATCTATTTGTGACTGTCCTCTAACTGATCATAAGTTGCAAGAATAATTCAACTTATTATACAATGCCCGTTAAAACTATGACTGTATATGAAATGGCCAATAAACAACAAATTTGGAAAATTTCCATATAACAATGAAATGTCATGAATACCTTTTCATCATCTTGAGGAGATGGCACTGAAAGAATCAAACAACAAAAAATAACAATATTATTATTACATATGTACATACTGACGCCTGGTTAGCAAAGTTGGCAAAGTGATATACTGCTGTGCGGGAGGTTGAGGGTTTGCGCCCCAGACTGGACGAACACTCAGGGTCTTAAAATAACTGAGGAGAATGTGCTGCCTTTGTAATTACATTCTGCAAATGGTTAGACATTCAAGTCTTCTCGAATAAGGACTATAAACTGTAGGCCCAACCTCCTGCATCTTCAATGTTACATGGTTAGCTGGAGACGTTAAAGAACCCACACACTTACTGCAAAGAGTAGGGTGCAGAGTTAATGGTGTTGTGGTCCAGCCTTGTCTTGTGGTAAGGTTAACCTTGTTGCACCTTTCCCCCTTAGACACAAGTGTCCAAGCAAAATTGTTATGTCTACAATGTATGTCTCACTCTATACATGTACTTCTAACAAAACAATGTAATTGCCATTTCAGTAGGTCTAAACAATTTCTCGGTGACTCTGCCACATAAGCCACATTATATGTGTCCGCAGACCAACAAACAATCTAGAAAAATTAAAGTTTTTGTCAAAAGCATCATAATACAGTAGGACAGATTGTAAGCTATTGTCAGTATGATCCAACATTTCCCCACTTCTGCTTTAAATTTCTCGCAACTGTTCATGTAGCCATGTAAGTGCAAAGATATTTTTTCCACAACCTGTTCTTTCAGCATATTTTCCACACTGAATAAACAACAGTTATATTCATAAATTGTGGTCAATATTTGTGGTATCTAAACCAATATCAGACCTGCTAAGATTTATGAGTTTGTTTAGACTAACATCTTCCAAAGCTTGATTCACCTGCATGCTTCCACAAGTGAGCTCATTGTGGGAGGCTGTGGTATGTTCCTTACACAGCCAGGCTAGACAAACTGCAAAGTTGCTTCCAAGAGCTTGTACTATTGCATGAAATTTTCTACCATGCTTGGCATAAATTACAAACCTTAATATGCATGTTTTGCAGAGGTTTGTATTGGTTTAACAGGATACCAGTCCACCCTACTTGGCAACAATGATCTACTTTATATCGAATTTGCTTCTGGCTAATAAGCAAAGAGGACATGAACATATTCTTTCGTTCATAAATACCGCCAACTACAGCAGATGTAGATAACATGCAAATTATTTTAACAGGTGCTCTTAAACAGTTGTCAAAAATGTCAAATTTGAAATTTTTTGTTTGTAACCACAAGTTCCTCGAATGTAGATGTTTAAATTGCCTTTCCATATATATTTTTCTTTTCTTCTCAAATTTAAAACAGCAGTAGGAACCTTCCTATTTAGACTGCAATTAAAAACTCACTTGTGTGTTGACCAGTGGAAGACTCGTCTTCACTCGATGTTTGGGAAGATTTTTCCTGTGTTGTTGTAGTGGTCTCAACGGTCTTCACTGTCTCCTTTTTCGTCGTACTTTTTGTAGTAGTTTGTGTTGTGCTTTCTTTCGTTGTACTTCCTTTCGTTGAACTTTCTTCCGTAGTACTTTCTTTCGTCGTACTTCCTATTGTACTCGGAGGAGAAGATTCTGTCGTAGAAGCTGAAGTTTTCTCAGTTGTCGATTCTTTCGTTGTAGTACCTGCCGTAGAAGGCTGTGTAGTTGTCGCTTCCGAAGTTGATTCCTGTGTAGTTGTTATGGATTTTGTACTTGTTTCTTTTGCGCTTGTGATCGACGTTTCTGTAGTATTTACATGTGTGGCGTTCAGAATTGAGGTTGGGGTAGCAACGGTTCCATTTGTTGTGGAATTGTTGGTCGAAGCAGTCGAGTTTGGAGATGTCCCGGGAGACGTTGTGTTAGATTTTACTTCTGTAACGTTCTGTGTCGATGTTCCATTAGCCGCAGACATAAGTGTTTGATTTGTCGAAGTTGCGTTCGGGTTTTTCGCTGGTGGAGCAGTTGCGGTCGTGTTAATCGAAGATGTTACGTTCACAATTGAATAATTCCCGGAATTATTTGTAACATTCGATGTAGCGGGAGATTGCGTTGTGTTGGAAACCGCAGAGAGGCTTGTGGAACTATTAACGCTAACATTTCGACAAACGACTGACAGATTACCCGCCTTCACCGTATCGCAGTGTTTGGTAAGATTCAACGTAGTGCCATTGCACGAAGGAAGCAGTTGTGTCCTATTTGGTGAGCAAATATCCGTCAAATTGATGTGGATCATAGTTGCGTTGGCTTGCAAAGTTGAGTTTTGCGTCGTACAGTTTGAAATCGTTGCATTACACGATGTAGTTGCGTTAACAGCTGTTGAATTCTGCAGAGTAGAGTTTCCATTGCTTGATGTCGTGTTCACAGACGATACATTTGCTGAAACCACAGTCTCGTTCAAAGGAGCAGCTTTTACGTGCGAAACACAAAGTGGTACCAAAACGGCAATTGCCACAGAAATGGCTAACGCGTAATTCTTGTCCATTTTCTTTTCTAGGGAAATACAGACGATTGTAACACAAAAAAGGGCCCCAGAATTACCTCACAGCCTCCTTCAATAAGCGATTTTGCGTGAATATTCCTCCCTCTGTTAGAAAATCGTAAATTAAATGAAGCCCGCTCAAACTTGACTAACACAGTAATGACTCGGAATGCGTGACGTCAGCAAGTTGTCGATTCCTTCAATGCCTTTTGTTCTCCATTGACAGAATAAATAATTGATTCTCGAAATTAATTTGATTGTGGACACAAGCTAAGCGTTCGCACTATGTTTGTATGACGATAAAAATTGGTCTCTTAAGATTGAAATTTCGTCGTCGCATCTGCAGTTACAAGGGCCAATAAATTGGCCGTTATTGAAAACAGGAATAATGCAGACAGTCAATACTGGTAGTTTCATAATCAGAGTAAAATGCTTTTACCCTTCTAAACATTACCAGTAAATTCTCCTCACAAACTGTCATTCATTTCTTACATGTTAGCTATGAGGAGGTGATGATGAGTTCTTCATGACTGCAGTCTTAGGAATTCAAGTGCATTTGCCAGACATTATGCAATGTTCCAGTAACATTTTATATTCCTTGTGAAGGAGATCTCTCAAAAATAGTCCTACACTCTTCCTCCAAGACATCACAGAATACTTCAAAATGATGATTAAGTCCCACTTGGGTATGAATTTTATATCTGCTGCCCAATGCTCCAGTAACACTGTCAGTGCAACCGTAAAATACCCGTCTAATTCTGGAATGGACTAGGGCCATTGCACACCTGGAAAAAAAAAAAAATAATAATAGAATAAAAACGCGTTTTGACCCTTACACCTATAGTATGTCCTGTAATACTCCGCATTGAAAGATCCTTTTTCACACTGTATCACTGTCTTGTATCTACAGGATCCTAACATGTGGGTCCAAAAAATATTCACACCCACCCCAAGGAGGGTTTTGGAGATTCCAAGCTAGGGGGAGAGGGCTCTCAGAGGCCAAAATTTAAAAAGGAATGTATAAACCAAAACTGGAATTTCGAGGGAGTGGGGGTGGGGGGTTCAAGCCAAAGAAACCCTCCAGCTATGCATCATCACCATCATCATCATCATCTTTGTTTAAAAACATGCTAAATACATCAGGCATTATCAATTTAATATAAAAGCTACAACTTATTACGAAAGACTATGTATACAGATTAATCTTCCATGATTTAAAATATTGCTAACTACAGTCAAACCTGTATATAACAACCCCGTATATGGCGGTCACCCTGTATATTACGGTCACCAAACGATTTCATCTATCTACCTTCTATCTACTGTAAAGTTGATCTGTATATAGCGGTCACCCTGTATAAAACGGTCACCCAGCGATTTGCCAAGGGTGACCATTATATACAGGTTTGACTGTATTAAAGAAAAGTAAACTAAATTAAAGCCTGTTTTACATGAATGCCGTGTCGAAATTAATTAACAATCATCGGAAATTAGTCAGAGATGTTGCTTGCCTAGCAGCTAAGGGTAAACTGTTCCAGAGGACTGCACCACTATAGCCAAAGCTATTTTTGTAATGTTTTTGCATGGGTGGGAAGGGTATGGATGTTTCCTGGAACAGCACAATATAATGGGTAGCCATTGGCAAATTAATTTTAGATTTAAGAGGTAAGTTTAGAATAAGCAAGAAGCCTGCAAAATGAGCTGGTTAAAATTACACTAGAAATGTTNACAAATATTCAGTGGACAAAGTTTGAACAAAAATCTATTGTCACTTCTATTTCAGAGGAATTACCTTAAGGCATTTAGAGATTTGGTTTCTGTGTAAACCCAAGTAAGGTAACAGGATAATATCTTTCTTAGGAACTGTAGAGACAGGGCTGTTGGGCTTGTTTCTGTTCAAAACATCGTTAATGTTGTAAGTAATTATACCTTGAGGGTAACCATTTTGAAGAGTTTTCAAAGATCATTGAGAGCAGATTGGAGCAAAGATGGCGTGGAGCAAATTCGGTAGCAACGATAAGTGAACGTACGAATGAGATTAATTTTGTACTTGCGTGATTTGAACGAATCCCATTTGGTGTAGAGACCGGTGTATGTCTTCGTCCCGTAAATGGATGTCATGAAGGTGTTGTTTGGCCAACGTTTATCGTTTATCAGAAATTTTCGGAAAATGTTCTGAAACGTTCATGTGGCCCTCGGACAATTTTTGGAGAATCTTCGGAAAGTGGTCGGAAAACTTCGGAAAATTATCAGAATGTTTATATAACAAAGAAAATAATACATGGTTGCTTGTAGATATGGAATATCTCTCGTGTTCAACTTTATATCTCACTCATTCGCTGCACTCACTCGTGAGATATCAAGTTGAACACTCGAAGAGACATTCCATATTTACGCGGGCCCATGTATTACACTCTATATATAGCGAACAGGACTCCATGTTCTTATGATATACAGGGAGCAATCCCGAATGGGGCTAAATGGAACCCCAATCAGGAAGCCAAACACAGGAGGTATAGGAGGACATAGGAGCCCAGTGGGGGGAACTGCCATATAAAAAGGAAGGGGCTGCTTGTCGGAAATTTGGAAAAGAACCCCTAAGAGGTACCATTTCTAGAACAGCACATCATCTCTCATCATATTTGTTTTCAGCTCAATACCCTAACAGGTACCACGGCAGCTCCTGATGTACACCTTTTGAGGCTGAACACCCTAAGAGGCAGCAAAACTGCATATTTAACCCCAAAAAGGTGAAACAGGCATCTTTGTCCTTTCTATAAAGGAGTTCCCCCTCCCCCCTGGGACAGGAGTTGGTTCATCTTGCACCCTTGTGAAGCTAGCAGTATAAGTTGTGTTGTTGTTCTTACATTTAAAGTGCCCTTCATCACCCAGGAGAATAAATGACTGACATAATGTTAAAGCAGCCCAACAAAATGCTAATTGGTAATCTGTGATAAGCTAACAGTCCATCCACAGAAAATAGTTGTAATTGTGCTGTGGAAAACTTGGTTGACCTGAGTGCAAAGTGATAGTATTCCAAACAATATGACTCGAGAACCTCTTTTGCAATTTATTTTACTTTTACTTAAAAATGTTTGGGAGATAAGTTAATTTCTTCAGGATTTTTTTGCAGGGCGATGGGGTTAATTTTATGTATTTGATTATGCTTAAAAGAATTGCAAAATCTTTTTGTTGATTCACTTGATGAATTTCACTAAAAAATGCCTTTCAACAGTTTTATTGAGATCTAGTTGTGATAGCAAACACAAACTTTTGAACTGTCTTCTTTGAGTTTCTGAAGGAATATAACCTCAAAGCAAATAGCTTGCAAATATACTCCCTCTTAATGTTAACAATTTCAAGGGTTAAAATCTTTCATTGAGCTCTGGCACAGTGAGTTCCTTTGAATGCTCAACATTCAAATAGGCTATGGTATCACAAAATATAATTTATTGTCCTTCACTTGTCAACTTTTCCTGACTTTCTTGAAAATATGCTTCCAACAGAGAGATTTTGCACAACACTAAGTACTCCCTTCATCTTGGAAAAAGGAAGCAACACCTTATTTTGTAACCTCTCCAACAGTGATGGTCTTATCCAAATACCAACACCTTTCTTCTCAGCTTGCAATTCTGCCTTTAGAAGTCTCCTCTGTAGTTTGTGATAAAGTGGATTGTTTGTCAGAGTAGACACATGACATGTGACTGCCACACCCTGGTGTACCATTTCTTCATTTACAGATGCTGATGAAAACCAACCCTAAAAAGTTAAAGTACACAAAGAATTTCATATTGACTACACAAAAAAATATTATTTACAGTTACTTTTGTAACAGCATTTGTAGAAATAGTTGAAGACAACTTGCTTTCGAACAACTGACTTACCAGTTAAACAACGTAACAGTAGGCCAGTTTTGTTATATTAAAATTCTACCTTGACTCCAAAGCTTCAGGGAATAAAATAAAACAAGTCACATGGTGGATAAGGGATGAATAATTACTACAATTTCTTTTATTTGATTCCCCTTAGCCTTGGAGCCAATTTTAATATATCCAAATTGGCCTATTTCAATGGCTAGACACTAATGAGTGATATTTGCCTCTTGCTCAGTTCCCTACTTTACAGGCTACATGCCCCGGGTAGGTGGGGGAGGGGGAGGGGGGAGAGAGAGGTACTCCCTTAAATGGACCATACAGGTAGTATGTACAGCCCTAAAGGGTATGATTTTGCAGCCATTTTGGTCATAAATAGGTATCGATTTTGACCATTTTGGTCATAAATTGGGTATGGTTTTTGTACTCTAGTCTTGATATGAGTATGTTTTTAAGGAGAAGCTACTTTTCCATCATTCTCGAAAAGAACAGCGACAAAAGCCCTTCATAAATTATCTTTATGGCAATTTCACATTGCTCTGAACTAGGGAACTAATTATAAGGCAGGTCTGAAACAAGGCTTTGATTTAAGGGTCAGGTTATAGGGTTTCAAATTTTTGGTCAGGTCATAAATAGGGTAATCACAGATTTGGGTCATAAATAGGGTAAGGGTTTTGGGAAGCAAGCCACACACCCCCAACCAATTTTTCTGGGAGTATCCCCCTGGGCTACATGTCACAAATAAGTATTTCCACAACTGCAATCTGACCATTTTATTTGTTGTTTTAATATAATACCTTTTTCTTGTACACCATGCAGTCCAACATACTTTCCTTGGTGATTTGTAAGGGAGTCATTTTCACTTCTGTTGATAGCACATTGTCTGAAAGCCACTTGTACCCTCCCTCTCTGAATTCTATTCCAACCAGGCTAACATCAAGAAGGCTTGATTGTGCTGGTGCATCTGAAGAAAAATATTCATAACACAAAGGAGTAAGTCTAAAAAGAAAATAACCCTTCTGAACAAAACTGGCCCTATCCGTAAAGTTGAACAAAGTCTTGGTGGATGTTAATAAACTCAGTATCCTTGATAGATCTCTTTTCAGGAGGATTGGTGACCTAATAATTAATGTGCTCAACTCTGGTTCAATAGGTCCAGGTTCAAGCCCTGGCTGGGGACATTGTGTTGTGTTCTTGGGCAAGACACTTTACTCTCACAGTGCCTCTCTCCATCCAGGTGAATATCTAGGTACGAGCAAATTAAATGCTGGGAGTAACCCTGTGATGGACTAGCATTCCATTCGGAGGAGAGTGGAAATTCTCCCACTCATTTCATGAGAATGAAACCAGAGAGAAGCATCAGGCTGATTGGCCACTGCAGACTTTGCCAGCCTACTTTGCAAAAAGCCACTGACATCAGAGTTTAAATAAACTAACTTTAAATTATTATGAATTTAAAGCAATTTTTTTAAAATTCAAGGTTTATTCTGTGGTGCACACTTCCAATCATGGTATGCCTCTAGAGCAATTTAAACAAATACTGTACCTGAGTCTGATGTAGAATATGGCTTCTTGAAGCTTCTCAGCAGTGGAATATGATAAACACCAAGGGTGTTACCCTGCCTTATTTCCCTGATTTGGCCACGAAAGGAAATGTTCTTGGCAACAAATTCTGCTGGGACTTCAGACACTGCTCTGAACTGTCTGAACTAAATGGTAGAGCAGTCAACCTTGAGCAAATTACTCCACATCCCCAAGAATGGGGGGGGGGGGGGGAACTCTCCATGTTGCAAAAACTTTTTTAGTGGTAGAGGCACCTTAATTTTTCATAAATTTAAGATGGCTCTGAATCTCTTTGACAAATTGTGAACACAACACAATGACTCCTGACTGGTCAGCTAACAGGTAAGCTTAACTCTATCTGGGAGGGAGGGAGTACTTCCAATGATAGTAACTATATGGGTAGGCTCCACCCATAAGGGCAGGGGTTTCACGAGTTTAAGTAGACAAAAGGGTCTACAGGGAAAACTGTCTGTTAGGAATTTAAACGGACCTCTAGATCTCAAAATTATATCTCCAACAGAGACACAAAATGGGCAATTCATCTATTAGCACTTTGGAGGGGTTACTCAAGTGAAAGTTTAGGAAAGGGATGTAGGGTGTCTACTGTAGCTATGTGAAAGGAGTAATTTACATTTCATATGAATGGTGTATGAAAGGGTTTACTTATAAGAGTTTGAAAAATGGGGCACTGGAGTAACTTTTCCAGGAAGTTATATGACATGCTAAACATCAGCCAGGTTACCGCATCTGCAAAAATATGAATCAATGTATACAACAAACCAGAGCTTGCACAATGTGAAAAGCTTACCACATAAGTTCTCCGCAAGATAAGTACAATTCCTGCTCCAGCCAAAATCCAGGATACATTCTGCAGAAAAAATATGATATTATAAAGTCGTTTAATAGTTTATAAAATTAATCAGATCAAAATATCATTACTATAATGGAAATATACATGGCATGGTATACATTGAAAATGGCAAAGAGGATCCTGTTCCTCAAATAAATACATTTTAAGCAGATCTGTGCATGTTGGAAGAGATGAAGAGTGCTGATATTTGCTGGGAGAATGCCACAGGAGTAGCCCAAGACATGGCAATCTGGTGGAACCTCGTTGAGGTCTCATTATGCCATTATGGTATAGCGGAGTTGAATCCCTCCATGCCTCTCTGGAAATTCCAGTTTAGCCTTGTACTTTTATTAATAAGTTAATTTGTTGTCCTTTGAGACAACTCATTCCCACAGAAATATTCTTAGAATTTCCAATGACCTTCCATGGAGTGGGCAAAGATGTGTTCTCAGAAACCTCATGCACAATGGCAAGATACAGTCAAACCTGTATATAAACGGCCCTGTATATAGCGGTCACCCTGTGTATAACGGTCACCGAACAACTTCCCAAAAATCGTCCCTTATATTTACTTTTAAGTTGACCTGCATATAGCGGTCACCTGTATATAATGTACGCGGTCACCCATTAGACTTCCTGAATCCACAATTTCATTATCTTTTACCTGTATATAACGGTCACGAAATTGGGTTACAATTAACAAATAATGACAAGCTTTATTCATAAGCTCGTTAAATGGCAGCCACCAAGGCAGGGGTCTCACAAAAATACAAATATTAGTACTAAACACAACTACTAATACATGTCATCACCTACGTCCGACACATGCTTGTGGCAGATAACATTAATAGTAACTGTAACAACATAACCGTACCACACTGTTTTCACTTTCATCATTAAGTTCCCTCATTGTTACACTGTACTGTACTTATCTCTCTTGAATTGAAATATAAAATGAGTGGTTTTCCACTTGTAAACGTTGTTCATTAGCTTTCAGTGGACTTTGACTGCACCTCCCTAAAAGTATACCACGGACATTTTATGGGCCTTTTTTATCGTGTTTATTGTGTTGCTGTTACTTGTTATATTATTGTCAATAAAATGTAAATTGAGTGATTATTTGCACACAAAAATGCTATTTACTGACTTCCAGGGAAGTTTAAGGAAACCTGTGTACAGTGGTCACCCTGTATATAACGGTCACCTGGCCATTTCCCAAGGGTGACCATTATATACAGGCTTGACTGTATGCAAAAAAGTATGTGGCAAAATTTCCTCCTATTTCTTCTGGTTCTCATCACCTTAGGAATCCAATGAACTCTACCTTATACCTGCCAACTTTTGTCAAGTCACAGGCATGAAAAAGATCTTTATCTTACAATTGCCAAGATTTTCAAAGAAGACCAGCCATATCCTTGGTTGTGTCCTGGTGTACTGGTACACATCGTACTCCTTTCTTTACGAACCTTTGTTTAGCTGTTGAACATTGTTGGGTCTTTTGTATCGGTTCTTGTGAACCGGTACACAAGGACAGAATCATATCCCCCTTCCTTGAGATTTCCCACCCCCTTTTATTCCAGGGTTTGGGGAGCTAGGTGGGGAGGTTTCCCACCTCCCTTTCCCCCCTCATTCAACTCCCAATTTTTGTTGGTCTCTATGGTTACAATACATGTAAATGCAGTAAACAGTCAATTACAACTATAAACAAGGCAGAAAGACTAAAACAAAACAACAATTAATAACATCATCATAATATCATGATTTGACAGAACCTAAAGGCACAGAATAAAATCTTTTCTTCTTAATTCTTACCCTGAATAATCTCAGATTGTTGTCCACAAAATTTGTAAATCTTGTCAGTATATCACTGTTGCCATCTTTCTCTTCGTCTACCATTCCTTTCATGTTATTTCTGAATCCGCCATGTTATCTTCTTCCGAGTTCTCCCGACACCTTCCCGATGATCACACGAGAGCAACGACGAAATGCTTGCTCCTAACTAGCCCCAAATAAGGTAAACGTCGAGCACGTGCTTGCCATCCGATGACATCATAAGGAGAAATGTGACGTTGAAGAAACGTTTGAAGAGAAGATCCAAAATGGCCGTCAACCCGGGGATGTCAGAGTACGGAGATGTCATAATTTCGCTAGAGAACTGTATTTTAGACGACGATCATTTAAAAAATACACCCTCGATTAAAGATGGTTTGGATAAAGAAGTAGAAATTGATCTGCGAATTGTAGGTTGCGAGTATATTCAAATGGCGGGCATCTTGCTAAAACTTCCTCAGGTAAGTACGTTTCAAATTTTGGACGTTAAAACTTGTTTTTGTTTGGAATTTTGAGCTGAGTTACTTTGCTTTGGAACCTTCAGGTAGCTATGGCTACAGCACAAGTGATATTTCAACGGTTTTACTACAGTAAGTCACTCGTTAAACACGATGGTGAGGTAAGGAACATTTTCGTGCACGTAAGGTTATGTTCTTGTAGGCTTTTAAGATATTTTCGTTTTATGATTTTAGACTTAAACTAAGCTTCCTTTCAGTATTATAACCGGATGAAAACCCACCCAACATTTTGCGTTGCACTTAAATCTAGTTCTTTTCCAAAATCATCTCAAACTTTGTCCAGCTTTTAAATTTCTAAACACTGATGAAGGCAAAATTCTACATGCACGTGTTTCAAAGATTTTAGCTCTATTCCAGCCCTAAATATTTCCTAATGTTACCCACAAATATTTGTTGTATAATAAGGCTTTCTGTTATTTTGTGTTAATTCTCTAACTCATTACTTTACTGCGGGAATATCCATGCCGAACCTACCTTCTTCCAAAATTTGTATTGCAGATTTACTCTATGGCAAGTATCTTTCTCGCCGCAAAAATCGAAGAAAGCCCAAGAAGAATTCGAGATGTGATTAATGTCTTTCATCATATAAAGCAGAGAAGGAATGGCAGGTAAATATCTGTATTCATGTTTGTAGTGAAAAGCGAAAGAGAGAATTTTTGTCCAAAATTAAATCAGAACAATTTTTAATAATTTTTCGATTAATCTATTTATTGAAAAAAAAAAGCCGGTTGTTGATCTGTTTGGTTTAACTTTAAAATATGAAGATATGGCTTCAAAATTTCTGAGGTTCTTACCGATACAAACATTTTATAAGTTTTGAAGTTCTGCCTTGTTGAATGGAAAGAAAATAATGTCTGCAGTACATACTACACAAACCATTCAACTAAAGAACATTTACATGTATGTTGTCATTGGGGGTGGGGGAGATGTTTGTGATGCCAAATAATATAAGTAATGGGCAAGAATATTCTTGAAGCACTGGCTGGTCATTGTTGTTCAGCAATCTTGAAAGTGTGTAAATTTTGCTTTTGGGAAAATGTGTCAAAACATGTCGGAAAGCAACAGTATCTCCGTGGTACCATTTCACTTTTCCTTGTGAAATTGGTTGGTTTTTAAAAACCAAATTTGCTAACAGATATGTTGTTGTATATGCCAATCACATTAGTGGCGGTAAATCTATGTCAGAGAATTTTGAATCTGCCAGTACATGTAGTATAATTTTTGCAAGAAACATGCTTAAAATAATTGTAGGCAAATCAGTTGGTGTGAATTTACAAGTAAGATTGTTTATTATATGTAATGCAGATCAGTTGAGAGAGAGTAACTTAGAGTGCTTCGTCTTACTCTCAAACATGCAGGAAATATTTGACTAACAGTCATGCACAGACAAAAAGTTAGATCTTGCACTTAGAAGTTAAGTTTGTACTTAAAGACCTTTAAGAGTGTTTGAATTTTGGTTGGCCCAACTGTTATGAACTATGGTAGTTCAGTTATGTTGGTTATATCTTTCTTAGCTTGAGAATATTATGGTTCAAATATTGTCTTAATACATGCATTTGTGTAATTATAAAAAGAAGGCAAGTCTTGTAATTTGTGTAGTGTAACCATGGCAATATAAGAAGGGTCACCTTGGATTGTTGAAAACCAAGCAGCAAATTAAACATAGGAAGCTTGAAAACTTAGTGGCTATCTATGCTGCAACATGTAATTGCAAAAGAATGGTCTTAAGATGTTAATTTGAAATGTAAATTGTCATGTACCATGGTGTTTAAGTTATGGTTTAATGTGGTTAGAGAGATTAAGCCAACATCATTGTTACACTAGAATTTACTTCCTATTAAATTATTTCTTATCCAGGTTAAAGTAGTAGCATTACTGCATTTAATTGACTTGATTTTTTTCTCTCTTTCTCCGTGCTGTCAATGCTAACTCCAGCAGCCTCCTACCACTTCAACACCCAACGCACCAACCCTCCGTGTTGCTCAAAACCAGCTCCGATGGGTCTGGTGTTACCATGGCAACATTGGACTGAAGTGGTGCTTCTCGTATTGGTCAACGGTCTCCGTTAACTGAAGGCAAGCAGGGCATATGTAAAAGTATCTAACACTGATTTTGTCTCATTGTTATAACACTTTCCAAGTTTGGTGATATTGCAATTTTTAAAATTTCAGGTAGTAAAACAGTTTGACTGTGTATGAGATAGTTCACAGAAATGCTCCAGTGTATACACTAGTTTATGGAAAGTTAAAGTGTGTTACTTGCTTTGTTGGTTTTTGTCAATGTTTTTCTCTATTTATAAAAGGTTAAAACTCATCTTAATCATTCACTAGGATAAAACAACTTGTTATTGTTTCATTTCGAAATTTGTGTTTAAAATTACTGTGATAAATCCAGATTTTTCTAGGAGTAAATGTTGTTAAATATTGTGTATGTTAAAAAGCTACAGTA